AGGGAGGATGAGGAGACTGTGGTGTAGGGGAAGGGTTAGGAGGATGAGGGGGAGGGGGAGGGGGGAATTGTGGGGAGGACTGGGCAATCGGGGAGGGTTGGTGTGGCTCAGCAACGCGTGGCCGGGTACAGCTAGTATATATTATATATATATATATATATAATATATATATATATATATATATATATATATATATATATATATATATATATATATATATATATATATATATATATATATATAATATATATATATATATATATATAATATATATATATTGTATTGGAAACATTGCTGATCAGACCTTTATATCCGCATGGTGGAACATGGTGGTTCCATGGGTTAAGAACCCTGTGGGTGGAAAAGCATCACCTGTTCTTAGTCCTACATTATGCTTGTTGAGCTTGAAACCGTTGTTCCTTGTTTGCTACATCTGACTTTTTGAAGAAATTATCAGGATCAACATTTTCCAAATTGTTCAATATTATAAAAGTTTCAATGAGGTCAGCCTCGTCGTGCCTGGTTTGCGTTGCTGTTAGCTCTGTGGTCCTCAACCGTTCCTGATATATCCCTGAATACGTGGGTTGAGTATGAGAATATCTTCTCATGTTCATTATGTAGGAGAATATTCCTGAGTGGATGAAATAATTACAACACAGTGGACACCGTTAGTTGAAATCGACCGATGTTACACAATAAACAGTGTGTAACGTCGGTCGCTTTCAACCAACGGTGCTCACTGGGAAAAAGCTCCACTATCTTATGGTGTTTGGTCTAAAATCCTTGATAACGAGTATTCATTAACATCTTGTAGAGTGACGCTGGTCCTAGCTCCTGCTCACAGAGTTTCTGGGAATGAAAGTGAGGCAAATTGGTATAAATTTATTCAGTAATATAACATCAATAATAGCGTAAAAGTTAGTTATAAAAATGTAAATTGTTCTACAAACAAAATCACGTGAAACAGAACACTGACATATAGGCTGCTCGAAACTGAATTACATTCATTTATAATAACCCTCAACTGAATCTCTCATGTACTGTCTATCACAACCTTCACTTTAACGATACCAACTGTAAGTACTACAGAGCAAAACTTGCCAACAATGTATTATCAAATAACCATAATGTGTCTCTAATTAACGTCAATGCAAGGCCTCTTTAGCAAACACCATGATGATGTTGGTACCTTATTGCAATCACTAAACTACCAATTCTCCCTTGTTGTTCTTATTGAGACCTGGTTAAATGATGACATTACCCAACTATATAATATTCCCAATTATTCTGCTATCCACAACTGTAGACCTAACCAGAGAGGTGGGTGGTACACTAATTTAACAATTTAGTACATTCAATTTAATTTATTACCATAAGGAACTATCATGTACAAAAATGATCAAATCTAGTATATATATAGTATATATACATGGAGAGTATATATTTTCCCAGTTCAAATTGAAGAGCCTGAACACCAACTTAACTTTGGGAGCAGTCTACAGAATTCCTAATACTGTTGTAGCCGAATTAAATTCGAAGCCTAGAACCTTAATAATATAAACAAGCTTAACAAAAATCAACTAATATTAACTGGAGATTTCAACACTGATCTATGCCAGCCTGATAACCCACTTGTTGCCAGCCTCCTCAACTGTATGAACTCCTGTATGTTTTTGCCTTTGATTATTAAACACTCGAGAATTACTGAAACTGCCTCCACCCTTGACCACATTTGGACTACCTTAACCTCTCCACTAAGCTCAGGAATTATCGCCGATGATACAACAGACCACTACCCAACATTTCTCCTAACCGACATTTTTTAACCTTCTCCTCAAACAAAGAAAACAAGCTTTAGACTGCTTACTGAAGCTTCCATAAGTAATTTTACAACTGCTGCTGCAACATAAACTGGGAAACGGAATTTGGAAATATGACTAATGTTAATCTAAGAGTGCAGACATTTCTTCGCACAACTCGAAGCCTCTATAACTGTCGTTTACTTAGTAAGCAAGTCTCAACTAAAAGGACCATCAACTCTTGACTCAATAAGGTTTTACTTACGTAAATAAATAAAAAAAAATAATATGCGAAGAAATGCAGGCATGATATCATTCCCAGGGAATTGACTAAGCAATACTCCTCACTGCTTTCTAAGATATTAAAAAAAGTCGAGGCAACCCACTATGAAAATAATTTTAAACTTATAAAAGGTAACAGCAAGAAAATATGGAACACTACTTCCCAGATATTAGGGTCAAAGAAGAACTTGGATAAAAAAAATTGTATATATTCGTAGCTGGAAATAGTAGAATGTTATCAGGCGCTGAGACAGCTACTAAATTCAATAATTTATTTTCTTCCATTGGCACCTCCTTGGCAAATGAGATCCCAGCATCCCAAGTAATGTGAGCGAAAACCTCTCTGACAGCTATTGTGAGCCTCTGTACATGTTCCCAGCTAACTCCTTATATTTTTTTATATTACCCTGTCACTTAAAACTAAATCCTGTAACCCTTCCGAGATACCAACCGTAATCTATAAACAGTCCTCCAGGTTTCTAGCTCCCGCAATAGCGTTGCTCTACAATAAATCACTGGAGATCTAAGCCTTCCCAAATTCTCTTAAAATGGCTAAAGTCATTTCAGTCCATAAAAGTGGAGATCTCGTTGAAATCGACAATTTAAACCAATTTCAGTCCTTCCCACCCTGTCCAAAAATCCTTGAGAAACTCGTATACTGTACAAACAGCTGTATTCTTTTCTCGATAAACACAATATACTCAGTTCAAGCCAATATGGCTTCAGGCCCCATAAAAGCACCAATGATGCTCTTATAAATATCTTCAACTCAATACATGCAGCTCATGACAAAAATGAGTACCTCGTAGGTCTGTTTGTTGACCTATGTAAGGCTTTTGACACCGTTAACCACAATAACCTTCTCAAACTCAACACTATAGATTCAGAGGCCACTCTCTACAGTACTTGCAATCTTACCTCAGTGACAGGCAACAGTATGTTTCAGTGAACGAGTCTACTTCTCCTGTTTTACCAATACACATTGGCGTTCTGCAGGGTAGTATACTTGGTTCACTTCTCTTTCAGCGAGAGGAGAAAGATATCCGAAATTCGAATAAACTCGAACCCTCGACCAGGGTACTCCCAAGCCGTGCACCTTACCTCTGGACAACAACATGGTAAAAGTTATTCAAGATGGGATTCAATCGAATCTACAATACGTCTTGCTCCAATTTTTCTCATTGATATATCACGCTAGTGTGATCTGCTTGTGTAAATAATAATAATATAATATTAATGATAATAAATAAAGCCATTAATACGCAAAGCGTTTCAGGCAAAACTTAAAATAATTCAGTTAATTTTGTTGTTGTAGATAAAATGGAATGAAGACAATACTAAACAAGAAGTAAACTAACAAATGTAAAATGTTCAAGAAATGTATCTAATAATAAGCAAATATAAAGGTGATAGAGTACAGGACAGCCAAGCTTTAGGTAGCCAAGGGTGAGGCTGTGAGGTAGTCAGTTATTGGATGGTCGAACATATTATCAATAATGAGGTACTGAAGTGTGAGGAACAGGATGAGGCGCTTCACGCTTGATTGTGGTGATACCGTTGACGATGAGGAGTGAGGTGCTCTCTAGGAACTGTCTATCTGATGTCTTCTGCATCTCCGGCTCTTCTTCCCATTTATCAACTGTCTCATTCTCCTCTTTCACACTCACTTCTTCTGCTTCCTTAATCATGGGATAACTTCTCTGCATCACACAAGCATGTTTGATCACTTCTATGTCACATTTATCCCTCACCTGCAGTTCCCTGGTTAAAATATAGTTGTTGCCAAGATCTCGACATGTTCCCCATACGCCATTCACGTGATTACTGTCTAAATTATAATATGCTTCTGTATTTCCGAGATATTTTCTACCCTCATACTTATTTAGCTTTTCATTCGTGTTTATCTTATCAAAATTAGTTTCACCAGTAAAACACGAATCCTGAGATAAGACGTTTACAGCTGTTTTATGATGATCTGCAGCTGGTTTGTGATGGTCTACAGCTGTTCTGTGATGGTCTACATCTGTTTCGTGATGGTCTACAGCTGTTTTGCGATAGTCTATAGCTGTTTTGTGATAATCTACAGCTATTTCGCGATGGTCTACAACTGTTTCGTGATGGTCTATAACTGTTTTGCGATGGTCCATAGCTGTTTTGTGATAGACTACATTGTCTCGTTGATGGTGCACAACTGTGTTGTTGTGAACAGCTGGTGTATGGTCAGTAGGGACGCTTGTGACTTGCCGTTGATCGATATTAATGTAAGCACCACTGCTGTCTCTTGACGTACTAACTGTATCAGAGTTGTAAACCTTCACTACCCAGGCTGGATTGATACGTTTTTTGCTATGAGTCATTCTATGGAGTAAGCTGTCATAACCTTTCCTTCCAGGTTCAGCATGATCAAGCAGATGCGTTAGAAGTCCTTCGTATGTTTTACAGTCCTCACGACAGAAGTCACATAAGAAACGTACATGTGTTTTCGTGCAATCCATGATCCTTCTATGTTTTCGAGCGGTGCTGTCATTATTAAACTGGGTTCCACATAGCTTACAAAAGAATGGTTTAAAAACATAGTTTCTCTTGCATCCAGTTTGTGAAGTTTGGTGACGGAGAACATGTCTTTTAGAGTTGAGCATCCTTCCACATTGTTCACACTGAACTCTGCCAATATTAGTATGAGTCATCGTGTGCAAGATAAGAGAACTTCTTACTGCAAATCTTTTCATGCATATGTCACACTTGTAAGGTTTTTCATTTGAATGTACGGATTTTAGATGACTTGCCACCGAAATTTTGCTTTTAAACTTTCTTCCACATTCTCCGCATTCAAATGGTCTTTCATTTGAATGTTTAACCATATGGTTTTTAAGTTTAAGGTTGGAGGTAAATTGTTTTTTACATATTTTACACTCAATCTTACTTTTTCTTTGAGACAACAATATGTGCCCACGATAATTTATTCTCGTAACAAATTTTTCTGGGCAAGTGGTAAATTGGTATTGTTTTTTCTCCTGTATGACGCCGCATGTGGTCAGCTCGAGTTGCACTCTGAGTGAACCTTGCACCACAAGTATTGCACTCATAAGGTTTCTCACCTGTGTGGCCTCTCATGTGCATAATGAGTACTGATCGTGTTGTGAAGGCCTTTGAGCAATTGTCACACTTGTATGGTCTCTCACCTGTGTGTTTTCTTCTGTGAATATCGAGGCCAGATTTTGTTACGAATTTCTTGTCACAGTCTTGGCGCTCATGTGGTTTGTTTGCTTCATGTCTCTTCATGTGTCTTTCAAAGCTTAATGTTGTGGCGAATGTCAACTGGCAGATGTTACAGCGATGGATTTTGGTTTTGGTGGGAGCACCACCAGCCTGTTGGTGCTCGCCGGCCTGTTGTATGTCTCCATTCTCCTGATGTTTCTCAGTGTGTTGCTCATCCTCGTTACACTGTTTCTCATCAGCTGATTGTCGGTTCTCAGCTGTCCGTTTGAGGAGCTTACTGGACAGTTTGCGGCTCCGTCCCATGATTGTCGCCTCTCTGGAACCAAATGAAAGATTGAATTATACACAAATGATTATCATAAGGCATCCAAGTGTTTAAAATCTGTGTCTACACATTTTTATCCAGCATTTATAATTTGATTTAGGTTCTGTTAAGAAGATAATGAACGTTTAAAGACTGTCCAATCCTAACATTGTCGACGAACAATCGGGTATCCCGGGTTCGATCCTCGGGCGCGACAGAGATGATTGGGTATGTTTTCTTTCACCTAATGCCACTGTTCAACTAGAAGTAAACAGGCAACTGAGTTAGGTGAATTAAATTGAGTTCGAGAGTTAGGCAACTGTTGTGTGTTGTTAGCGTCATTCACTTTTGTCCTTCAAAAGTTCTTCCTTCTTCACCGTCTGGTATTCTCGTGAAAATTTGGGTCATTCAGCTCTTCAAACCTTCACAATAATTGAATGCTATTTTAAAAATGGACCCGAGTAGTTACCACGATACCAGTGTATAGAGTGTTTATATATAGATGTGTATTTAACCCAACCTACTACAGTGGTACAGTTGAGTATGTTGTTCTCCCATTAGTGACGCAGGTGTGTATGTTTCCTCCCATTAGTGTCACAGCTGTGTATGTTGTCCTCCCATTAGTGTCACAGCTATGTATGTTGTCGTCCCATTAGTGTCACAGCTGTGTATGTTGTCCTCCCATTACTGTCACAGCTATGTATGTTGTCGTCCCATTAGTGTCACAGCTGTGTATGTTGTCCTCTGTTACGAACCCGGATCCAGCGTCCGAGCCTGGAGCAGTGACAACCACGCCATCTGTGGGTCAGCTCCCAAAACCCCCCGCCAAACGCCGACGACACCTGGTGAGGACAAGGTGTACCAGCCACAAGGACCAGTTTCCAGTCCCGTTCAGCACTCTACACCGCCGCCACTGACCTCTGGTGAGGTGGTGCTCCGACGACAGCGCCATCTATGGACTGGATACGTCAGGTGTTTGTGCCCGAGCCCGTAAGTGAGGTGTTTTAGTGTCCCAGTTATTGATGACGTGTCTGCTTACAGAGCCGACCTGGGACTGCTGTGATGGAAGTGGAGTCAGTCTACCCGAGGCAGCCAGTCTCCATACCTTGAACGTTGCTGCAGCTGTTGTGAAGTCGTCCCCCCGGAAGAACACTGTGGTGTGTTAGCCTGCCAGTGGAGTGGCAGTAAGAGGATTTACCCGGGACCGACTGTTGGAGACGATCATCCACTGGGGTATTGAGGACAGGAGGGGGATTTGTGATATCACACGAGACTCCTGTCTAGGGCGTACCCCTTATATCGTTCGTGGAGTGGCCGTACCAGCCTTGGTGGCTCAGAACCTGCCAGCAGACTAGCTGGACGTGTGGTTGACGGCCTCCACGACGGTGCCCCCAGTGGACCTGTGGCCAGGGTAGGCTCAACTTCTTTGGATAATTCGTCGTGTGGCCACGAAGAAAGCACCGATGACTTAGCACCTAGCTTCTGGATCCAGAGTCTTCAGCAGAAGACTAATTTGTGAATAATCCCCTTGTCTAGTGTTAATACCCCTCTCCCTTGTGCACTCATTTATTTTATATATTTAAACGGTGATGGTAATAATTATAATATTAAGTTCTTAACTTTCTTTCCCTACTCCCTTTAAGTTACTTGCGTCACGGATCTCATCCCTTGATAGCCACTACTGGCTTGGGAACGAATACATTATATCTTCCTCTAAAAACATCAGAGTAAGGACCCCGTTGCGTCCCGAGAGGGCCGTAACATCCTCCCATTAGTGTCACAGCTGTGTATGTTGTCCTCCCATTAGTGTCACAGTTATGTATGTTGTCCTCTCATTAGTGTCACAGGTGTGTATGTTGTCCTCCCATTAGTGACACAGGTGTATATGTTGTCCTCCCATTAGTGTCACAGCTATGTATGTTGTCCTCCCATTAGTGTCACAGCTGTGTATGTTGTCCTCCCATTAGTGACACAGGTGCGTATGTTGTCCTCCAATTAGTGACACAGCTGTGTATGTTGTCCTCCCATTAGTGTCACAGCTATGTATGTTGTCCTCCCATTAGTGTCACAGCTGTGTATGTTGTCCTCCCATTAGTGTCACAGTTATGTATGTTGTCCTCTCATTAGTGTCACAGTTGTGTATGTTGTCCTCCCATTAGTGTCACAGGTGTGTATGTTGTCCTCCCATTAGTGTCACAGGTGTGTATGTTGTCCTCCCATTAGTGTCACAGGTGTGTATGTTGTCCTCCCATTAGTGTCACAGCTGTGTATGTTGTCATCCGATTAGTGTCACAGGTGTGTATGTTGTCCTCCCATTAGTGTCACAGCTATGTATGTTGTCCTCCCATTAGTGTCACAGGTGTGTATGTTGTCCTCCGATTAGTGTCACAGGTGTGTATGTTGTCCTCCCATTAGTGTCACAGCTATGTATGTTGTCCTCCCATTAGTGTCACAGGTGTGTATGTTGTCCTCCCATTAGTGTCACAGGTGTGTATATTGTCCTCCCATTAGTGACACAGGTGTGTATGTTGTCCTCCCATTAGTGACACAGGTATGTATGTTGTCCTCCCATTAGTGTCACAGCTATGTATGTTGCCCTCCCATTAGTGACACAGCTATGTATGTTGTCCTCCTATTAGCGTCACAGCTGTGTATGTTGTCCTCCCATTAGTGACACAGCTATGTATGTTGTCCTTCCATTAGTGTCACAGCTATGTATGTTGTCCTCCCATTAGTGACACAGCTATGTATGTTGTCCTCCTATTAGCGTCACAGCTGTGTATGTTGTCCTCCCATTAGTGACACAGCTATGTATGTTGTCCTTCCATTAGTGTCACAGCTATGTATGTTGTCCTCCCATTAGTGACACAGCTATGTATGTTGTCCTCCCATTAGTGTCACAGCTATGTATGTTGTCCTCCCATTAGTGTCACAACTATGTATGTTGTCCTCCCATTAGTGACACAGGTGTGTATGTTGTCCTCCCATTAGTGTCACAGCTGTGTATGTTGTTCTCCCATTAGTGACACAGGTGTGTATGTTGTCCTCCCATTAGTGTCACAGCTGTGTATGATGTCCTCCCATTAGTGTCACAGCTATATGTTTTCCTCCCATTAGTGACACAGCTATGTATGTTGTCCTCCAATTAGTGACACAGCTGTGTATGTTGTCCTCCCATTAGTGACACAGGTGTGTGTGTTGTCCTCCCATTAGTGACACAGGTGTGTATGTTGTCCTCCCATTAGTGTCACAGGTGTGTATGTTGTCCTCCCATTAGTGACACAGCTGTGTGTGTTGTCCTCCCATTAGTGACACAGCTATGTATATTGTCCTCCCATTAGAGTCATAGGTGTGTATGTTGTCCTCCCATTAGTGACACAGGTGTGTATGTTGTCCTCCCATTAGTGACACAGGTGTGTATGTTGTCCTCCCATTAGTGACACAGGTGTGTATGTTGTCCTCCCATTAGTGACACAGGTGTGTATGTTGTCCTCCCATTAGTGACACAGGTGTGTATGTTGTCCTCCCATTAGTGACACAGGTGTGTATGTTGTCCTCCCATTAGTGACACAGGTGTGTATGTTGTCCTCCCATTAGTGACACAGGTGTGTATGTTGTCCAGGTGTGTATGTGGTGTTGTCCTCCCATTAGTGACACAGGTGTGTATGTTGTCCTCCCATTAGTGACACAGGTGTGTATGTTGTCCTCCCATTAGTGACACAGGTGTGTATGTTGTCCTCCCATTAGTGACACAGGTGTGTATGTTGTCCTCCCATTAGTGACACAGGTGTGTATGTTGTCCTCCCATTAGTGACACAGCTGTGTGTGTTGTCCTCCCATTAGTGACACAGCTATGTATATTGTCCTCCCATTAGAGTCATAGGTGTGTATGTTGTCCTCCCATTAGTGACACAGGTGTGTATGTTGTCCTCCCATTAGTGACACAGGTGTGTATGTTGTCCTCCCATTAGTGACACAGGTGTGTATGTTGTCCTCCCATTAGTGACACAGGTGTGTATGTTGTCCTCCCATTAGTGACACAGGTGTGTATGTTGTCCTCCCATTAGTGACACAGGTGTGTATGTTGTCCTCCCATTAGTGACACAGGTGTGTATGTTGTCCTCCCATTAGTGACACAGGTGTGTATGTTGTCCTCCCATTAGTGACACAGGTGTGTATGTTGTCCTCCCATTAGTGACACAGGTGTGTATGTTGTCCTCCCATTAGTGACACAGGTGTGTATGTTGTCCTCCCATTAGTGACACAGGTGTGTATGTTGTCCTCCCATTAGTGACACAGGTGTGTATGTTGTCCTCCCATTAGTGACACAGGTGTGTGTGTTGTCCTCCCATTAGTGACACAGGTGTGTATGTTGTCCTCCCATTAGTGACACAGGTGTGTATGTTGTCCTCCCATTAATGACACAGGTGTGTATGTTGTCCTCCCATTAATGAACACAGGTGTGTATGTTGTCCTCCCATTAGTGACACAGGTGTGTATGTTGTCCTCCCATTAGTGACACAGGTGTGTATGTTTGTCCTCCCATTAGTGACACAGGTGTGTATGTTGTCCTCCCATTAGTGACACAGGTGTGTATGTTGTCCTCCCATTAGTGACACAGGTGTGTATGTTGTCCTCCCATTAATGACACAGGTGTGTATGTTGTCCTCCCATTAATGACACAGGTGTGTATGTTGTCCTCCCATTAGTGACACAGGTGTGTATGTTGTCCTCCCATTAGTGACACAGGTGTGTATGTTGTCCTCCCATTAGTGACACAGGTGTGTATGTTGTCCTCCCATTAATGACACAGGTGTGTATGTTGTCCTCCCATTAATGACACAGGTGTGTATGTTGTCCTCCCATTAGTGACACAGGTGTGTATGTTGTCCTCCCATTAATGACACAGGTGTGTATGTTGTCCTCCCATTAGTGACACAGGTGTGTATGTTGTCCTCCCATTAGTGACACAGGTGTGTATGTTGTCCTCCCATTAGTGACACAGGTGTGTATGTTGTCCTCCCATTAGTGACACAGGTGTGTATGTTGTCCTCCCATTAGTGACCAGGTGTGTATGTTGTCCTCCCATTAGTGACACAGGTGTGTATGTTGTCCTCCCATTAGTGTCACAGGTGTGTATGTTTGTCCTCCCAATATAAAAACAATAATTTACTGTTCAGTACTCAATAAGTTTGCCTTTAAGATTTCATGATCCTTTAG